GGGGGGAGCGCGGCTCAGCTCCTGGCTGGGTGGCACTAAGCTCTTGGGCTCTGCCAGCACACTCAGGGTAGGTTTATTTGCGGGCAGCTGAGGGGGTGGCACCGAGGTACAGCTGGAGCTGCTGTTCTGTGTGGTTTTGTCTATAATTTAAACTTTTTATCATGGCCTGGAGCCAGCGAGGGGGTTGAGAAGTCACTGGGCAGCAGCCAGCATCTTTCTGGGGGCTGCCCCAGAGTGGTGCCCCCATCCCGTTGGTGCCCTGTCCCCAGCGCTGGCCGGATGGGGGGTCCCTGCCACTCGCTGCTGGCCTGTGGTTCATGGCACTGCCAGAGCCCCATCCCTGGTGTTTCTGTGTCCCTGCCATCGCTCGCTGCTGGCCTGTGGTTCATGGCACTGCCAGAGCCCCATCCCTGGTGTTTCTGTGTCCCTTCTCCGTGCCCAAGCCCACCGCGCGTGGCTCTGCTAGCCAGGCCTGTTTCTGGTGGTCTCACCCCGCTCCTGGCACCGGCCCGTGCCTGGCAAAGCCATACTGTTTTAAGTTTGTTCTCGACAACAAAATAAATTTTTACACACCTTCCACCTGAGCACCGTGTCCTGCATCTCCTAGGGGGCAGGACCCCTTGCCCTCAGCTCCTGGGCTGCTCCCCCTGCCATGCCTGCTCTCATTTCCCCGTGGCAGCTTTTTCCTCAGCTCTTTCCAGCTCTGCAGGCTCAGCCATGGGTGCTGGGTGCCAGGAACGCGGGCGCAGCTGGGGAAAAGGCTTTTCACAGCACCTCTCCGGGACTTCTGCTCTGAGGCTGGACGGGACCGCTCCCCATGTGCGAGGGGATCCCTCCGGGCTGCCAGGGTGGGAGAGGAGACCCTTCCCACTATGGCAAACCAGGACGTCCAGGAGTGCCCAGACTGGGAGAGAGCGCAGCTGGTACCGCTGTGCAGGGTGGAGGAGGCGATGCCAAGGTGGACGGGACGCGCGGTGCTCCCTGGAGAGTCCAAACCAGGCTGGGCCCCGTGGGAGCAGCAAGCCCGTGTGCCGCGGTGCGTATTAATAGTGCCAATGTGCTGGAGCCGCGTGTGCTGTGCCAGCGCAGGCGTGGGGCAGGGGATGCACGTGGCAGGGCTGCGGGAGCTCAGCCATGGCCGCACACGGTCCTCAAGGAAGGAGCCTGGGCATTGCCTGACATCTCTGCCCAGTGCCAACTAGCATCGCCAGCCGGCAGAGCCTGCTGCCTCCCAGCCCCTCTGCCCTGGCACAGGGGCAGCCCCATGGCACGGCATGGCACGCCATGTGCGGCCCAAGGGAGTGGGAACAGTGCCAGGGCTGGGTCGTGGGGACGTGCCACCCCAGGACAGGGCAGCAGCCCTGGCCCGGGTGCTGCTGTGCATGTCACGTAAAAGGTACCCATTGAAGGGTACCCGGTGCCAGGCTGCCCTGCGTGCTCTGTGCTGGGGCAGGTGTCGATGCTGGAAGCACCATGTGCCCTGTGCCAGGTGGAGCACCCATGGGCGATGGACCCGGACCTGTGCTGGCTTGTGGGTGCCAGGGTGAGGATGGAGGTAAAGTTTGCAGGTGCCTGTGCCAGATTCCATGGGTACCTGGTACTGGGATGCTGGTACCCATACTGGGATGAAGGTACCTCTGCTGGGATGCTGGTACCCTTACTGGGATCAACGTACCCTTACGGGGATCAAGGTACCCCTACTGTGATGCTGGTGCACTTACTGGAATGAAGGTACCCATACTGGGATGAAGGTATCCTTACTGGTATGCTGGTACCCATGCTGGGATGCAGGTGCCATAGCGGGATGTGGGTGCCATACTGGGATGCAGGTAATATACCAGGATACGGATTCCTGTAGCAGGATGCAGGTGCTGTACTGGGATGCAGAAACCTGTACCAGGATGCAGGTGCCCATAGCAGGATGCAGGTACAGTACTGGAATACATGTGTCCATACTGGGATGCAAGTAATGTAGATGGAACGCAGGTTCCAGTACAGGGATACAGATACTGTACTGGGATGCAGGTACCTGTACTGGGATGTGGATGCTCATACTGGGATGCGCGTACTGTACAAGGAGGTGGGTACCAGTACTGGGATACAGGTATCGTACTGAGATGTGTGTATCCATAGTGGGATGTAGATACCA